ACACAATCATACTTTGAGAACCCATCAATGAAGACAATGAAATACCTATACCGCACTCAAGCTACAATAAGAAATGGACCATAAAATCGGTATAAATATAGTCTAAAAGACCAAATGATCGACTGAACTCAAAATTGCGTTTCTCTGCATCTATCCTTTGATACAACCAACGCATAAAATTTGTGGCCCAATAATCTTATTCTTGACCAAGAGTTCAAATCTCTTTTGAGAGACATTCCCCAATATCCTATCCATAACATAGATGAATCCTCTATAACCAAAACACGATTTTATTCGGACGGTATCGAGTCTATTGAAAAACAAGAAGCATGTAGAATCACATCCGGATCCATCTACCATGTCTATACCTATACTTTTACCAAGTTTGACTCAAATATTAACATGGCAATTTTTTTTCATGCTTTGTTTTTCTTTTTCACCACAATAACCTTTTCTTTTGATGTCCTTTTATTTCTACAGAACCAATATTTATCATTCCATGATCAATGTCTTTTCATGTATTGTTTTGTCTTCTTTATTCTGTTTAGCCTTATACACTTTCTTGCCACCTAGTTTATTTTTGAAATGATTCTCGCTGTCACGACACGATGAGCTGACTCAGTTTTAACACCCTTAAGTCGCTCCCCTTCAATCACACAAAATGCTAACAGCTGGTTAATTCCACAATTAACTTCTTGTGAATTATAATTCACCTTGAAAAGCTAAAAAAACTTAAACAGAGAATAGATCACCATGTGGACTAATAACTTATCAACAAATATGATTCTCTACTTTCTCAGATCATTAACCAGCTTGCACATCTTATAGATGTACTCCCTCACTGAACCATTGCCATCATATCTCACTAACATAATCCATATCAGATAATAGTATTATAGTTGTTTCTTAATACCCATTAACTCTTTCTTGACCAAATCAAGAAGCTCCTTGGCAGTATCAAAACTAAATATCACCATGAATAATATCACCAATAGAAGCATAAATTAACTTAATGGCATGGTAGTACCTTTAGTCCACCTAAAATGCAACAATTTTCTACCTAAGAAGACTCCGTACTGGACATATGGGTTTCTTCCTAAAAAAAACATAGACTCATGGTCTAAGAAACCCAATATAATATCAAAACATGTCTTCTAGGCAATATAATTTTAACCATTCAATAGTTCAATCCCTATGAGCTATCTTTAAATGGCGGAAGCGTCTGTAACCAGAATAAATGTTATATTGAATAACACCACATAAACAACATATAAAACAATATGTCATAACTTCAGGGATTATTACTTTAATTCGTGCTTGGGGTTTTAAGCTGAATTTCTCAGGGTGTTTTACTATTTGCAAAACTATCCACCTTGCAGGAACAGATAAAATGCCATCTAAAAATCACATTTTGGCAGAATTTTAGATTTTACTTTACCTCCCAAATCTGCGATAAAATATCACATAGACCTATTTTATTATAATTGAATTATTGCTAAACACTTCCACTACCTTTTGGTAAGAAGGGTATTTAGTTATAATCCAAACACTCTCAAATATTCTACTCACTTATCCCACACTAAAACATTGATCACCTTTTGGCACAACAAATGCCCTTATGTAAGTAAGTGCACTATAAGACCTCAATAAGACCAATGCCTTAAAATTTCAAAATAATAATAATAATAATAATAATAATAATAACTTCTGTGAGTGTGTCACCTTTTGGCAGGCAGCACCCACTTTAGCTTTTACTTTTGAAACGATCACTTTATCTGTCTTTTTAAACCCCAAGGAAAAACCTAAATTAAAGTTCTATTTATTTAAGTTAAACAATTTCTTTATAATGCACATAAATTAAACCCAAATATTATGGAACACTTAATTTCACTGTAATATAAATGACTTTAATACAAATAAAATAAAGCTCCCTTATACATCTTAAGAAATTACACTGAACAATATAATAATAACATGCACTTCAATCGATATTTTAAAAAAAAATCTCAATTCTTTATATACTTTAAGTAAAAGAAATCTTAAAGCATGATTCATGCATATTATATTTTCGATAAATAATTTAAAAATACTTAAATCTTTAAATCAATTATGACACATCCAACCACACTTATTACGGGCGGTGGAATAACTTTTAGAGAAAATTTATCACATATATTATCTACCTATATATCAATACTTGTCTACGTGCCTTAATGAGGTGCAGAATCAAACATATCTATATTTTAGTGATTGACACTTGTCCCACTAATTCAAATCATAATAGATGCCAAAAGAAACTTGAATATATATATATATATATATATATATATATATATATATATGTATATATATATATATATTATTTATTTGAATATATTATGGAAATAAGTCTTTTTAAAGTGTCCAACACTATCTTGCAAAGTTCAGTCACAATTACCCGTACACACACTTTATGGTAACAAACCAACCATACAAACCTTCTTTACATACCCATCTCGTTTGGGGTGCACAAGAATTTTCATACAAACTGATTGCATACAAATAAAAAAAAAAATTTAAACTTTCCATATAGAATTTGTTATTTAAGGACATAGAGTTCTAGAAAGCAAGTATAATAGGATTCCAATTAGACATGTCGTATACTTTGCATATAATTCATTTAGAAGTGATTCACTCTTTCAACATTCCTACCACAAAATCAGAACTTTGGTTTCAAAAGAATCAACCTGATATATATGTAGCATACCAACACATATATAACACAAAAATTAATCAAAACTTTTGAATTTTACAATTGAAATTAACATAATAAAATAATAAATTTTAATAGAATTCTCAATTGTATTGTATTGTATGCAGGAAACATTAAATCAGAAAAGCACAAAATAAGTCATTAAATAATTTTGTAATGCTTGGTTTTTAAGAAAAGACGACATTGCGACAAAACTGTGACATTAAATAGTTTTGTTTTATTACCACACACACACACACACACACACACACACACACACACACACACACACATATATATATATATATATGCATGCATACAAATCAATATATGCTGATCCATAATATTTATTCATTCAGCTTTTGATAACCATCACACACGACACGCACACACACACCAAAAACAAAACCCCTAGTTTAGTGGCGTGCACACACAACAACAAACAAAACCCCTAATTTAGTGGCGTGCACACACAACAACAAACAAAACCCCTAGTTTGGAAGCTAATTTTCACTATTGGAACAAAGGTAAAGGCAGTGAATGCTTCTCTCCTTGCTATTTCGACTCCTTACGAGCAAGACCCACATACACAATTTGCGATCAAATATATATTTATATATTTATCATGCCTCTAATTTAAAACAATATATAATATGTATTCAATTCATTGATCTTGATTTTTACAAGAAAATCTAAACCCTAACATTGCTTTGATACCAATTGTTGGGTTTTAAATAAATAATCCACAGGTAGAAATCAAGAATATTATAATTAATTAAATAGAGAATTTAGTCTCGTACCTGATTAATGATTAAATCGCACATATACCTTTAGAATATCCATGTAATTCTTTCTGAGTTCCTGTAAAACATTAGAGCGCTTTACTCCCTTCTGAGAGTTGTCGATACGATAAGTCTGAATAAGAGTTTTAAAACCCTTATATATATAACAACAACAGGGGGGACGGCTCCTTTACAAACAAGTATACATAAGTCTCCCTTCCTATCATGGAAACTTAGATATCAATGGTTAGAAATAAATCACACCAAATAAGTTGAAAAACCACAATCCAACGGTATAAACCCATACTCCCAATTAGACCACCAAATAGGAAAGTACAAACCCAATTCATCAAGTATCAATAATCACATTGCAATCCTAATTTAGAAAATGTAGTACATAGGATCATAAAATAATTTTTATTATTTATATATATATAAATTCCAACATGAATTACATCTATGAAATATTTTGCATATACAATTATTTTTTAATTCTACGTAACTTGTAATAAGTGATGTACGGGAGGAAAGTAAAAGTGAAAAAAATAATACAAAAGGGAGAGGGAGGAAAAGAACAGACACTGAAATAGAAGATTTCATTAGGACACATCTATCCTCTAATATAGCTTGGATGGGTTTGTTTTTGGTTCCTAGTTTTGGGTGTGGATGCCTTTTTAGCTTTGACCCCTTCATTGTGTAACTAATATATGATCGTACCGGTTCCTAAAATTCTGTAATTGAAATTTTAAAAAATACTAAATCAATTGAACATTATTTTTCTTACAATATTTAGGGTCCGTTTGGTATGCGTTTTGTTTTAGGCGTTTATTTTTTTGTTAAAACAGAAACAGTGTTTTTATTATAGGAGTGTTTTAGAAGAAAATCGGAAGCACGTTTGGAAACGATGTTTTGCTGTTGAAATGTCAAAAACAGAAATATACAAAACATGTTTGGTAGGTCATGCATTTCAATAATTTTGAAAACAAAACATGTTTGGTCACTTCAACTGTTGCCAAAAAAAATAAAACAAAAATAAAAAACATGTTTGGTTATCATTATTTTTAATTTGTTTTTATAAATTTTAAGTATATTTATAAATTTATTTCTATATAAATAATCATCATATTTTTAACAGATATGGAGAAATTTGAACACACAAACATAAATACATACATATATATATATATATATATATATATATATATATATATATATATTGGTCTTCTCATTACCATAAGAGTCAACATTTGTAACTTTTTTTAATCCAAACTTGAACTCAATGTCACATTTTATGCAATGGTAAATTTATATAAAAATACATTTTAATAATTCAAATATTATCAATATTTTTTCCATATATAACTATATAATAAGTGGCTATAAAAGCCCTAAATTTTTTTTGCAATAACCTACTTCAATTTTGTTATCCTATTACCTATATTGTCAAACACATTCAAAATAAAAACAAATCAAACTGCAAGTATAAGTGGAATAAAGTGTATACCATTTACAAGTGCTTAAATATTCAACCAACAAATTAAACAAGTTTAAGTTCTACATAAAATGTTTAGAACAAAGCAGTAACAATACATAGTTGGGACTAAAAATTGATAATATGTTCATAAAGTAGATGACAATGGCAACGACACATCATCTTCATAACAGCACAAGTCACCTTCAAGAGAGCATCAACACACTTCATATCTGCAATGGTAGCATTTAAGTTGAAATATATTAACAATAATAGTAGCAAGTAATAGTAACAACAAAAATGATATATATTACATATATAAATATTACAAGCCTACAATAGCAACAAATATATTACATATAAAAAAAAAAACATACCATCACTCTCGGAGGATCAAGAGTACCCAAGATAATTCCAGATTCGGTCAGCAATAGTATTACGCAACTGATCCATTTCTCGAAGCTGAGCCAGAGGCACATGCTCAACAATCTCATCGTTTTCACCATCACTTTGAGGAGGGAAAGAAAACAGTCTCTGTGATACCATAGGGAAAGAAAACAAAATTAAAAATTAAAAAATGAAAGACAGTTAACCAGAACATTGATTTAAAGACATCTTCCAAGGAAGGGGGTGTTCTTGGCAAAAAAAAAACTTGGGTAAGATTAAGTTGGCATGGTCAGTTCATTACATTGGAGTAAATCTACCAAATTTATATACTGATGGTGAAATGTAGGTATTTTCAAGACATAAACAACATATCAGCTAGGTTAAATAAGTTTTTTTCCATCATATGTGCATACACTCTCTCTTGCTTTCTCTTAAACACTTACTCAATCATATTAATCAATTATTCAATAAAATATGCTTAATAATCATCACTTTCTACCAAATTATATATCTATCAGTTGCTCAACAACCATTGATGCAACACTCAAAATCAGCTTAACAAACCAAACACAACTTATTGTCCACAGGACCACAGACCATAACTTTTCTTGAACAAGAGATCTAACGGATGAACGTTTTCCTAAAACTAACATGGTCAGGTTAGAAAAATACTGGAACTAACTTTTTCTTTTGATTTTGTATGTAAATGAATATGTCAATTTATATTAGTGCTAGGCTAATTAACTAATGAACAAAAAAAAAAATGGTTAAAAAAAATCATCAACATTCATATTATCCAAAATTATGAAGTACACAGAACATATGAATTATCCTGAGCATTTAAAGAGTTGAAATACATAAACCCCTTCGTGCTACTGCACACGTATAATTACCAAGAAATCATCCAACCACATGAACTCATTTCCTTGAACTTCTTATGGTTCACAACTGTATTTTGAGGTTACTAAACAACCTCCAAAGAAACCTATCAAATGAAAGAAGCTAGCAATCCCAAATTGAGATTACATACCCACTTCCAAGGAAAAGTGTTATTGACACTAATGCCTTAATTAAGATTAAGTTTCTAGTACATTGTTATTTTCATGGCAAGGAAAAGTGTTAAGCAATAGAGAGAGAGAGGTAGGTTTAGGGTCCAAAACTCCTTCTGGTGTAATTGACACAAATGTCTTAATTAAGAGCTCTCTCTGTGTCACAACAACATGAAATTTGAAAGATTCAAAAAGCATGAAGAAGCACATGGCACTAGGTGAATCAATGTAGATTCTGCATGTCCATCATCATGAACTGAACTCTTCCAAGCCTTGACTATGCCCTCATTTACTTACCCACTCTTTTTGTACATATTTCATCATCCACTCACTTACTCACTCTCTCAACTCCTCCAAGCTTATCTATATAAAGTTCCCAACTATCCAAAGCTAATTAACATTGTTAAGCATACAAAAATGGCCTTTTACTTGGCTTGTTTTTGTTTACTCATGCTCAAGTTCTCAATCACCACGGCAAACTTGCCTAACATCTCCAATGAAGCATGCGCCGACAGTGCTGCTACTGTTGTATTACAATTTGGTATGTATCAAGATAGCTACCCAGAGGCTGAGCCCATCATCTTCTCTTGGATGGAAAGGGCAGTGTCCCAAGACCCTAGAATGGCAGTTTCTCTGCTTCGACTTCATTTCCACGATTGCTTTGTTAATGCATGTCATGTTTCAAATTTTTTGTTCTATATATGTTTTTAGCTTATATAGTTTAATATTAATGAACACAAGTTTGGTTGCAGGGATGTGATGCATTAGTGTTGTTATATGACATGGGAAATCTGGCTGGGGAGAAAACTGCAGCACCAAACTTGAATTCACTGAGAGGGTTTGAAGTGATCGATACGATCAAGTCTGATCTTGAGTCAGGTTGTCCTGAAACTGTCTCTTGTGCTGATATTCTTGCAATTGTAACAAGAGACTCTGTTGTTCTGGTATGTATGTGTTGTGTGTTAGTGATCAGTACACTAGTTCTCTCTAACTATTGTGAACAAGTAGTACTAGTGTGGTGGTGTACTAATTTGCATTCTAATTCCTCAATCAGGTGGCCCAGGCTGGGAAGTGGAAGTGGGAAGGAGGGACAGCTTGAATGCAAGCAAAACAGCAGCCAACAACAACATTTTAGGCCCCAATTCGGACGTCCCAACACTCATCACCAAGTTCAGAAATGTCGGTCTCACGCTTGCTGATGTCGTTACCCTCTCGGGTAGCTTGATTTCTTTATTTTTGACCCAGAACATGCATGTTTGGATGTTGAGAAAACATTCTTTCTTTCTCTTTGGGAGGTGCACACACAATGGGGAAAGCTCGATGCTCAACATTTAGCTCTCGGCAAAAGGGTAATAGCAATAACGACTCAAATGGCCCAGACATTGATGTGGCCTTTCTTACCTCTCTCCAGCAACTATGCTCAGAAACAGATAGAAACACAACGCTGGCACATCTTGACCTGGTGATCCCATCAACATTTGATAACCAGTATTATGTTAACCTAATTTCTGGGGAGGGATTACTTCCATCTGATCAGGCTCTTGTGAATGGAGCAAATACGTTGCAAATATGCAATGAATTTTATCAGGAACCAGAAGCAATTGAATCAAACAACTCAAAAATATACATTTACAAGGAAATATAAACAGAATAAAACCAATTTCATAATAACTTCTCATTTGATTGATTCAAACAAACTGAAACCAGAAAAACCAAATCAAATTGGGGGCATTCAAATTCCTCACCTGCAATATCACAGAGTCTATAACATCGGCATACTTCACAGCTAAATTGAGCGACGCGCAATCGCATAACACCGCACATGACTCCTCGAAACCCCGCCGAGCAGGTCACCGTGGTTCACCACGATCATCGTCAGGAAGGCGGCGACACCAGACCCTAAACAATGTCCGGCAAAAATCATCTTAATCGATGACCCATTTTCGAGCCACAATAGCTTCAGATTCTCCGATTCCTGCCTTGTTCTTCGACGAAGATAACAAAAGAGCAAAGATCGGTGGTCGGTTTGGTGGATTTTAGCCAAACAAGCACACACAGCACAGTCGCCCCAAAATCGCCTCCGCTCGAGCTCTCTAGAAACCCTAGAAAATGACTGAAATGTTTTAAGTTTGGTTTATATACGTGTTGCAAGTTTGGTTTAAGTGAGTGTTTTTACTTCCTCCGCTACAGTGATTATTTGGGCCAACAGTACCCAAAACACAGTAAAACAACAAAAGGGTGTTTTAATTTTTGGCCCAAAAATTGAATCTGTTTTGACACTATTGGCAACAAAATAGACCGAACCAAACATGTTTTGGGTTAAAAATTTACTACTGTAGCAGGCCTGCAACAAAAACACATGAAGCAAAACAAATACCAAACAGGCCTCTAGTTTTGTTATATGTGTTGACGAAAATATAAATAATAATAAATAAAAAAATTGAAGTCATTGAGAAAAACTGGATGAGTTTAATAATTTTTTGTCCAAAAATTTCTAGGGAATATAATTGCTTCACTACATATATGATATATCAATTTATAAAATTCAACTCAAGTATTTATTGAATCAGTAAAATTAAAAAAATTCAATGAAATTGCAATATTCAAATGGTTTTTTTTTTTTTTTTTTTTCATATTTGTGTAGTTGAATTACAATTTATATATATATATATATAAAAGTTGACATCGAAATAATTTCCATATATTAGTAAAAAAAAATCTAAATACCTTTAACCAATACACCTATCTGTGGTTGATATTTGGTTACAAGTATTTTTTACTTTATTGACCATTTGAATGGAAAATTTTGAGGGAAAAAATAAATAAATAAAAGAGGACAATTAATCGGGGGAGACACTCTTTCCCTTTTTATTATTATTTTTCCCTTTTTATTATTATTTTTTTATTAATTTTTTTTTTACACAAAAACCTCCTCAGCTAACCCATTTGAATCCATTTCAGGTATGTTTTGTGCTTCCCACATATATTTAAATCTAGAAGTACATCCATATGTTCTCTCCCTCTCTAAATCTAGAAGTGCATCCATATGTTCATTTATATGTGTATATATACATATATCAATATATTATATAATAAAGTATAAGATTGATTGCTGATGGAGTTGGTCAGTTTTTCAAGATTGTGCAAAATTTTATACATGTCTAGTATTATCTTTGTTTTTTGCAAAATTACAAGCATCTCTCAAATCCGTTACAACAAGGCTCAAATCAGTTTACATTTTACTTAAAAACGGTCGATACTCTCATAATGTGATATGTTGATGTCTCATCAAATATAGATGTGATACGAATACTAATTTTTATAGTTCTTGAAATATATCCGATATCATTAAAACCAAGTATGATATATGGGTTAGGTTTTATGGTAGTTGGTAAATTTGAAATGAAATTAGCCTCCAAAGCTATTAGATTCTTAAGAATATCACAAAAAATCCAACTAATTATATTATTGGACGTAAATGGAACGTCAATTGCTTGATATATCTCTTCCATCACTACCAGCATAAAATGGCACAACAATTGCTAGAGATATGTCTTCCATCATCACTTTCTGTAACTTGGAACAATATCCTTGACAAACCCACCACAATCAAACTAAACTCTCATTTGTACAGACTTTATCTTCTCTTCACAATTGGGTTGATCTCCTTTGTAGACAAATTCAAGGAGTTACAAGGCAGATGATATGATCTAATGAGAGGGAAAAAAAATGTTTATGAATTAAAGTCAATAAAATTTGAAAACTGCAGGTAATGAAGAAAAACTCAATCAGCTTGCAGCGACGTCTCTTCTGTGTGCACGGCTACAGAAAGACTAGGCCCAAGTCTACATATGTCTTGTTGCTCATAAACACAACATCTTAAATACTTATATGATAAAGTAGAATGAATAAATGAAAAGCTTTTTTCCAAGTCTCACTCACACTTAGTATATTATCTCCACACTTAGATATATAAAATGATAAATATGTAACATTTTTATAATGTAAAAGAGTGTAACAGTGTTAGCAACATAAATAAAGAATTTAAATATAATTATTTCATCAATATAAATATAATAAACCATTATATTTAATGTAATGTAACTTAATATATAATATATACTAAACTCTCACTTGTGCAGACTTTATCTTCTCTTCTCAATTGGTTGATAATGGAGTTGGTTAGGTTTACAAGATTGTGCAAAATTTCATACATGTCTCAAACTATTTTTTGTGCAAAATTATATGTATCTCTCAAATCAGTAAGGTTCGAAGTAGTTAAAGTAAAGAGCTTTCTTGTTTAGCTTTTCAATGAATATGAGTCGATACTCTCATAACGTGACACAATGATGTCTCAGAAATGTGCCACTAAGACTGATGCATATAGTTCGTGAAATATCTTCTCAAACTTTGATATCATTAATAGTTGGTGCGCTAATGGTGGTATGTGGGTTACGATATCATTAAAACTATCTGTAATTACAACGCACCAAAAGCTTTTATTTTTTGTAAGTTTAAGAAACAAATTTTAAAAAAAAATATTCTTTTTCATTTACAAAAAAAATAAAATAAAATAAAATAAAAAATCCCACAATGAAAACAGTTGTTAATAAGGTTGGAAATATTACTACCGAGTTTTATGTTTCAAAGTTTGAAATACTGGCTGGAAAAAATAATAGTGTTACAGGAGTGAAGCTATGGGCAAATTTTAAACTTGATTATGGTGGGTATTTTAGTAAATTTATTTTCATTATTGGCCACTTAGTTCCGATATTTCATACCAAAAACAAAATTCAAAAAAATATTTATTGCCAATCATTACAAATATTTATTTTCATTACTTTTTTAATTGGTCAATTATACAACAAATAAGGAAGCGAAACCCATCGCTTAATTGTATTTGATATAAATAGCTAATTAAAAGTTATTCGATTAAGCAATTTACTCTAAGTGTCCAGTGTGAGTATCATTACTCTTAAATAAATTATTAAACTTCATTTGAAGGTAATGAATTTGTACTTAATGATAAATTGTTTATTAAAATTAGTCTGAGTCGTCCGATGCTAAATTAGATATATGAAAAGCCTTTTCTTATGACAGTTGTTCAACAACAAAAGTGAATTTAAATTAAAAATATGGAGGACATTTTATCAACAATCTTAAACTACAAATGTGATGTTAGATTAAGGATATGGATGACATATTTTTATTGTCAACATTGTCTAAATGTAATCCTTGTTAGGATTAGGGTAAAGTGCAAAAAACCCCCTCAACTATGGGCGTTTTGCAAATAACCCCCTCGAACTATAAGAAAACCCCTTGAACTATCAATTTGTTACAGTTGAGGACAACAGTAACTTATCCGGTCAACATCCCTCACTGAAAATGTTAAATGACATGTATACCCTCAAACAAAACGACGTAGTTTCATTAAAATTTTATCCCATGACATGGCAAATTGTAATCTGAAGAGCCAATTACAAATTGACACTTCAGCAATCCACATCAAAGCTTACACACAAAACCGAAATAAGAATAAATTTGTTTGACTAATCACCAAGCTCTGCAAATCCCTCTCGCAACCACTAAAACCCTACCCATGGAACCATCGCGATTTCTCTTGCTGCAAAGTCTGGAAACCTCTTACCTAATTAGTTGAGTCTTACCCTAATTAGTTGAGTTTACAAAAGCAAACCTCTTACGATAATTAGTTGAGTTTACAAATAGGGCAATTTAACTTGTTAATAGTTGAGAATCACAGAGAATTGAAATCAATTTGGGAATTCTCTTCATCGTATAAAACTCTAAAATTAGGGTTGAACCCTATACAATCCAGTCGGGTTGGGTCTCAACTGGTGGTTCAAAATCCACAAGCATCGGACACAGCGATGACGACGACAAACAACGAAGGCGACGATGATGAACAACGAAGGCGATCCACGACGACAATGGACGACAACAATTGGTGATGACAATCGGCAATTACGGCTTATGACTAATACAGCTCTCAATTTGGGTTCACCGAAACAAGCATCGAGACCATGCTTTCGATTTGGGTTCGCCGAAACAAGCAATTGGATCTAATTTGAACCATCAACTCGGCGACGAGTGAAAGGGAGGTGTTAGATTTCACCGGTTGCATACGGTTTGATAGCTCGCTAGTTGTGTACAGGTGAGGCTTTCCAATTTGGTTGCTGCAACTAGGGCTGTAACTTGGGCTAGCCCAACCCAGCCCAGTCCCAACCCAGCCTCAACCCGAAGCGAGTTGGGTTGGGTCAACCCGAATTATACTTAACATGGTTATGATCATAACCCAGACCAAATATTTTCGGACAGGTTGGGTCGGGTTGACAGGTTGAGTTTTTAAATTTTTTTTTTTTTTTCAAAAATTTATAATATAATATGATACAATATAATATATTATATTATATATATATAATATAATATAATATATATATATATATAATATTATATATTAAAACAAAATATTTTTAGGGCAAATCACTTTAGCCTCCCCTATCCTCCATCTCCATTCTTTCTGAACCCCCCCTTCTCTCTCTCTCTCTCTCTAACTGCAAATTACAAAATCTACAAGAATCAGAAGTTCAAAACCCATTGCAAATTACAAAATCTACAAGAATAGAAGTTCAAAACCCAAATATTTCGTTTTATCTAACTGTCTGCAAGAATCAAAAGTTCAAAACCCAGATCGATCAGCATATCATTTCAGATTGTTCAAAAAATCAAAACCTAGATCTTTCAGTTTCCATCGCTCGCTGTTCCAATTCGGGTTTGCAAGCTTCAGCCGTTGTCTCTCTCTCACTCTCTCCATCGCAAGCTTCAGTCGCTGTCTCTCTCTCTTTCCATTGCAAGCTTCAGATCTCTCTCTCTCTCTTTTCATCGCAAGCTCTCCAAGATTGTTCAAAAATCAAAACCCATATCTCTCTCTCTCTTTCCATCGTAAGCTTCAGCCGCTGACTACTAAATTGTATATATGGGCAGAGAGAGAAAGAGAAAGAGTGAGAAAGAGGAGAGAGAAAGAGAAAGAGTGAGAAAGAGGAGAGAGAAAGAAGAACAAGATTTTTTTCTTTTTCTTTTTTTCGGGTTTCGGGTTGGGTTCGGGTTGAGCCCAAGCCTAACCCGAATATGTCTGGATTTTGAAAAAACTCAACCCGAACATGAACCTAATTTGTGAATTGTATGTCCAAATTTCAAAATCTCTGGGTTGGGGTTGGGTTGGGCTAGGTTAACCCGCCCAAGTTGCAGCACTAGCTGTAACTTTCTGGGTTTAACTACAGCAGTTCAGTTCCGATAAAGCTAGCGTGGTTTAGTTCCTAATAATCTCATTCTAGCGTGCTCTATTTTAGAAACTCAAATAACCCATCACTCATTATATATAGGATTGGGTTTCTGATGATCTATTCATATTTCTTTCCTTTCCGACCATGTGATTTTGCTTCCATTAGCAAGTTTGGTGGTGGCCGCGGCCGCGAGAATTACCTTTTCAAAAAAAAAAAAAAAAGATGAAATATATGTATATATATATATATATATATATATATATATATATATATGTATTTAAATACAAATTAGGGTAATGGATTTGAGAATAAAGAGGGCTTTTTGGTATTTTTGTATGACAAGGGTGAAGTAGGCATTAAGAAAAAAAAGTGGCATACACACTCCTGAATACAGTCAAAAAAATTTTGCCGGTAACCGGAGTGGGTAAATTGCAACCAAGTACAACAGTTCAGGGGTTAATTGCATTTTTTTTAGTTAAGGGGGATTTACTATATTTTGGCCCATAATTCAGGGGGGTTTTTTGCACTTTACCCTTAGGATTATTCTGAGATAGCTCCATATTATCATATATGTCATTTAAAATTAAACATATAATGCTCTCATATCAATGAACAATTTATTATTATTATTATTATTATTATTTTTATTTTATTTTTTTCAAATCAATCCATTTTGAACTTTAATCATGCCCATAACAATAAAACATTCTAATTTTTTTTTCTTAAAAAGCTCTTTTTTTTTTTTTTGGTTGAAGCTTGACATTCCAAACTTCATGAAGGTATTAATCCACTGGGCTATCGAGGCAATTGCATTCCAAGATCAGGGGAGACATTAATCCACTGAATTATTCACATTATAAAAAACTGACATTTTTTTTAATTATTAATTAGACCTTTATGATATGTTTTATCATTGACCTTAATCATCTGTTTGGCTACCAATATAGCGAAACAAAAAATAAATTAAATTATAGGAGTAAGTAAAAAACCAAAATAAATAACGAAAAATTATGAAATCAACCTATTAAGTAATGAATTCACAATAGACTAATTTCTATTTATACTGACCAGAGCATTAACTGATATTTAAAGTGGATTGCAAACAAATAAAGATTGGGGATATTCTATTGGTCATGGGATATTTTAGATTAAGGTAGTATTACTTATAAGAATTATAACTGTATTCACAAGAATCACAACCACGTTTTTTAATGATGTTTGTGGTCATAGTTTTTTTACATATACACCAAACATATTATTTGCATGAGGTTTCCCAATATAATAAAGTATCTCATTTGATTTTGTTATTAGATTGACATTTCATGTCAAATTTGTGAAATGATTTGGTACTTTTTTTTCTCTTTTTTTCTTTTTTATTTTTATATATAACTTACTGTTACATTGATGTATTGGAGGAAACTAAATGGACAACATCTGATAAAATAGAAGATAGATTCAAGTACCCTTTTTTTTTTATAAAAAATTGTTGTAACGTTATACTTTTTTTATAAATATGTTTATTTTAGATATATTAAATAAATATTTATCAAATTTTGTTTAAATTTAGTTAACTCAAATTCAAGTGTGATATTTATCAATTTTTAAAATTAAAATTATTCATTGAATTAGTGAAAATTAAATAAAATTTATAGAATTAAAATATTTAAATTTTTTTAGTTCCATTAGAATTAATTGTGTGTGTATATATATATATATATATAAGTTAAGTTCAGATAAAAGTTCATAAATATGAGGAAAAAATATATCTATTTTAATTTTGCAGACCATTTGGATGGAAAGAAAAAAATTAAAATTTGAGGGGCACGAAGGATAGAATTAGCAATTATTTTTAGGTTTTTGTAGTTCAACTAGAATATATATATATACCCATATAAAGTTGATTTCAAAAGAATTTCCATATATTAGTAAAAAGAGAATAAGGTTGATATTTAATTACAATTACTTGAAAAAGTATCTCATGTGACTTGTGTTAGTAGATTCGAGAATTGTGCAGTGAAGTAACACATCGCATTTGTGAAGATTACCGAGAGATCGATGAAAAGGGTGAGGATATCCAACAAAGAGAAGAGAATAGAGTACACAAATTCAATTTTGATATTCAGAAAAGAAAAAAAAAAAAAATTAAATCAGTGATTGCATGAAATGAATAATTAGATTGAATTTTGTAAATTGATATAAATAATTAAAATTTATATGTATATATATAAATTGGAACCTCAAGAGATTGCTAAAGTGAGTAAGTCACTTGACCTAGTGCTTTACCCAAGCAAAAGAAATATATATTATAATTGAGTTCAAAAAAAAAAAATTGACACAACAATTACGTAATTCAACAAGTAGTATTTCATTCTATTATGAATCTAAACACCAAAATTTTATTGACTAATTTCTATTTACTTTAACATTTTCCTAAAAGCAAAAACTAAAATAAAAAGGAATACTAATTTTGTAATTACCACTAAGTTCAAGATTCATTATTTGACTATATAAAATTAAGGGCAAAGTACAATAAACCATCACAACCACAACCGTTTTTAAATAAACCCTCTTCAATTAAATTTTCTGTCAAAAAAAAACCACAACTATTCAAAGGAAGTAAAATAGTGGATATTTGCACCAAAATGCCTTTATTGTTGTTTTATTTGAATTCTAATTCATCCGAAATTCAAAAATTCATATCTCACAAATCGTAAATCCAAAAAGTACAAATAATATATGTACGGAGAGCTTTTGAAACAAGGATTCCATAAATATAAGATTTGTGCAATAAGCCGCCATAACCAAAGAGAAATTGGTAATCTAAGAATATGTTCTAGCAATCTTATTTTTTTTAAAATAAAATAAAATATTTGCACATGCAATTCCCTCCGTGTACGAGGCTCTTTCGAAGTCTAGAAAGGATCAAATGTATATAACATATCTCGTACATGCGAAGAAGCCACTTCTGTAATTCGTGACTTCTATGAGCAACTTATTGTTACACCAAGGCTGACTGACAACTGCACTAGGCTCACTATCATTTTTCACCTGGACTTTTACTATTTTCGCAAGTCACATAAGCCCAACCGTGTGCTTTGTCAGTCTTCTTTTCAATTTTTTCTCTACTACTTTTTTTTTTTAAAAATTATTTTTTATTTGCTTTAAGAGACAGACCACAAATCTAAGAGATTGACCAAGGAAATATTGGATAATTGCTTACCAGGCCCAACCCTTGCATTGCTTTTGAAAATGAGTAAGTGTCGTAAATGCAATATTGGATCATAGAGTTGGAACCTCCCGAGTCCTCTGGGTAGGTGTAACGGGTGGGCACTTACTCATTTATCTAAAAGTTCAAACTATTGGGTAGTGTTACATATCCACCCATTTATATATACATCAACCCCCATTCAAATCCGATGTGGGACAAGTTTTACTTGTAACATTCTCCCCCTACCCGAACCCGCACAACGCCCTCATTACGGTTAGACCACCCTGCCTACCCGTGGACAGACCCGAACGCCCTCCGGGCTAGACGCTTGGCGTGATACCGGATTAAGAACTGGGTCTGGCTCTAATACCAACTGTAACGGGTGGGTGCTTGCCCATTTACCAAAAAACTTGAATTATTGGGTAGGACTGCATACTCATCCATTTATACACACTTCAACCCCCATCCAAATCTGATGTGGAACAAGTTTTATTTGTAAAACTAGAATATTAGAGTAATTTTAACATGATCCAAGGACCGAAACTATATGGCCATCGACAAGCCAATCACTACACAAGTAAATATATTCGTTTTATTTAGATTTCTACTTTCATTTAGATTTCTACTTGAGTATCGAAAGTTCTGATCAGCCAAAATCAATTGTGATGATATGTAACTCTTAGGATTTCATGATATGAATTTTTGATGTGTCAACTTACAATGTCTAACACATATGAATCATAAAAAAAACATATGTCTTTTTTTCAAAATATATATGTATTATATTTATATTGACAAAAAACATATTCTTTTATTTTATATATTTATGTTATGTTCCATATACAAATGAATAATTCTAATAATTTTTTTTGCAAATATTAAAAATAAAATAAGATTGTTGTAATAGATTCTTAAATTACCTGGATATGGGCTTGCACAAATCTTAAATCTTAAATTTCTGGAATCCATGTTGTAAGGGCATTTTGATCAAAATATTCACTCTTTTACCCCTCAAATAGTTGGAAGGAGGGGGTTTGATAAAAAAAAAAAATAGTTGAGGGGAGTTACTGAAAAACTTAAATAAGAAAATTGAATAAAGATCAGGAATATAAATATAGTAACAACAAGGTCATATACTGTTTGATATATAATCGTACTAAAAAATAAAAAATAGAGAAAAAAAAATGTATATTCCCACATACAGGGAGAAAATAGAATGAGAAAATTGTTGAGTTTGGGGGACCTTGTATATTCCCATATACTCTTTTCCACATATATATATTTTTTTTGTAAATACACAAAAACATATCATTTGCACTATGTTCACTTCTCATGATAATTTTTTTTTTTTTTAAATACACAAAAACATATTATTAACGTTGGTAGAAATAACAAATTATGTGTGAAAATGATGTGTGGAATACCAAACAAATAGAACACAAAGGAATAGTAGAAGGTTGTAATTTCTTTTTTAAGTTTCATATATTATTAGCTCCAATAAAAAAAAAAAAAAAAAAAAAAACAAATTTTATTTCTTAGTAGGCCCAAAGAATTAACTTCTATTTTCTATCCCTGTTTAACCTTTTTTTATTTTTTATTTTTTCGTCGTCCCCCTCATTCCAAGTTTTTTATTTTTTTTTTGAATGGTATATATATCTATATGTACTATTATTAAAAGTACAAGGAGTGTCAAGAATTTCAAATCATTATTATTAATTAATAATAAATACATAATAAAATAAGTTAATAATAAGTTACCAATTAAAAAGCAACTCCTAATTTAATAAAGTTGTATAATAGGTTACCAATTAAAATACAAACATAAATTACCAATTAAAATATTAATCCTATTCTACATTGGATTCTACGGGATTATTACCAATTAAACTAATAATCCTATTCACAGATTCCTCACGGTTTACTCCACATGGGATAAAAGGGACCAATTAAATACAACTCCTAATTTAATAAAGTTGTATCATAAGTTATCAATTAAAATAATAAACATAAGTTACTAATTAAAATAATAAACATAAGTTACAAAGAGGTATGTAAAAATCACCTTATATTATTTTTTCCTGGTTTTATCTTCGTTTGTATGACAATTTTTATTTATTTTTTTGTTCAACCCCAAATTTAATGGTACCTCAGTTTACTTTACACGGGATCGCTTACACACACAGGCAAAAGGGACGATAAGAAATTACAAAAAATTGAAACTAAAAAATAAATTAATAACCAAAACTCACCCTCAATCTGCACTCGTCTCTTAGCACCAAAATGTATTGCATGACCAAATAAGAATTTTGAAACTGAAAAATAAATTAATAACCAAAACTCACCTGGTCTCTCAGCACCAGAATGTATTGCATGACCAAATAAGAAAACAAGGGTGAAACAATGCTCTCCAAAAAAATCTCTGCATCCTCAACTTCAAGCATAAAAGAGTCTCCATCATTATCTTGATCATAACGTCTAAGGCTACCGAGTTGAGAATCACCGGGAATTTCTAAATATCTATGTGTATTTTCCTTTTTCTCTACATTAGATACAAGTAAGAAATGATCTATCCAAAGGCTTCACACGATTCCAATTCCTTGGAAGGGCAAAGCCAAGATTAGTCCACGACTCTCTCTTGCCATATTCCTTCATCACCCAAAATTCACAAGACCGCCACCCCGACTTCCCCATAATCTTGACACAGACACAGAGACATCCTCTGAGAACCGTAACCAAGTAAGCTTCACGTTGTTGTGTTTCAAATTCTGCAGGTAAAATAAAAACTTGAAATTTTTCCTCCTCTAAATTAAGAGAAACTATCTTACTCATGTCCTTAGTTAACCAATGGAGAGCTCCATTCAGAAGTGCCGCAGCTGGCGCAGAGCACATAACATGGTAAGGGATGTCTTGAATTCTTCTCCAAGAATTTGTTTTTCGTGTATATAAAGTCGTTATACTTTTGTGACAATATGGGATGTGCACAACCTTATAGTCATCGGTTAAGGCGTCGTAGCCAAACCCATATGCACCACCAAACCCATATGAAACACCACCTGTTATACTTTTGAATGGTGGGTGTAATCTTTTGACTTTTCTAGTTGAAGGATTCAGCAGGTGAAGTTCTTCTTCACAAGAAGAATAAGGAGAAGTTGAATATAATATCAATCCGTCACAACAACCTAAGAACTTGCCCGATTGACACTCAAAATTAAGTGGATAATCAACTTTTCCACTCGGCTCAATAATGTTGCCAGAAAATACAACGATTGCTGACCTCCATTCTTTAATGTGACAGGAAAAAACAAGTTGTTTTTTGTTGGGCTCATAGGATCGATTTAGGTGCATCTTCACAAAATATGGATCAGTGAACAAAGTTAGCCAAGACTTTGACACACACTTAAAACGTACCAGGGACTTGACAGGCAGTCGTGAGAGTATGTCCATGACGACGTCATTGGGTAGGGACTTGATGGATGATGACTCTTCTCTTCTTTCTATCATCTCCATAGCCTTTCCTCGGCCTTCTTTGGTTTTAATTAGTGAGGGTTATTCAGAACGTAATATACACATTATTTTTACTTATTTATAGGGTCGCCTAAGCCCCCACTCCCAAAAGTTTTTATTACCTTATATATTATTGCCTTCCTAAAAAAATTAATTTCTTAGTAGCCCAAAGAATTAAGTGCTATTTTCTATCTCAGTTTAACTTTTTTTTTTTTTTTTTTCGTCGTCCCCCTCATTCCAATTTTTTATTTATTCTTTTATTTTTTATTAATAAGTATATCTATATATACTATTTTTTTTAATAATATATATATATATATCCATATATATTATTATTAAAAGTACAAGGGTGTTAAGAATTTAAAATCATTAATATTAATTAAAAATAAATACATAATAAAATAAGTTATAAATTAAAAAACAACTCCTAATTTAATAACGTTTAATAATAAGTTACCAATTAAAATACAAGCATAAGTTATCAATTAAAATAATAATCCTATTCTACATTGGATTCCTCAGGATTGTTACCAATTAAACTAATAAACCTATTCACAGGATTCTCCACGGTTTACTCCACGTGGAATAAAAGGGACCAATTAAAATATAACTCCTAATTTAATAAAGTTGTATCATAAGTTACTAATTAAAAGAATAAACACAAGTTACCAAGCGGTATGTAAAAATCACCTTATATTATTATTATTATTTTTTCCCGGTTTTATCTTCGATTGTATGACAAATTTATTATTATTATTATTTTTTTCAATTCAACCCCAAATTTAATGTTATCTCACAGTTTACTTTACATGGCATCGCATACACACACAGGCGATACACAGAAAGGGATAATGAGAAATTAAAAAAATTTGTGTCACCTGTTTCATTTGTTAAGTCTAACAAGAATTCAAATGTTTATTTATTTATTTTATTTTATTTTTTTTTTTCAATTCAGCCCTAAATTTAATGTTACGTATATAATGATATCTAATGAGACAAGAGGTATGTAAAAATTACCTTTTATATATATATATATATATATATATATATATATATATATTTTCCCCCAATTTTACCTTCGTTTGTATGAAAATTTTATTTTAGTTTATTTTATTTTATTATTTTATTTTTTTGTTCAATTCAACCCCAAATTTAATATTTGGTATAATGATAATAGCAAAGTCCTAGCACTAAGAATATATATCTAATGAGACCAGAGGTATGTAAGTATTATAAATTATTTCTGAATAAGTCTAACGTTATTGATGATGAGTACTTCTTTTTCTTTTTTCTTTTTTCTTTTTTTTCTTCTTTTTTGAATAAGCCTAATTTGTCGTAATTGCAGAGATCACCAAATACTATAATTTGTAGTAATTGCAGAGTCCAACAATATTGGAGAAAGCATATAAATTTATTTATTTTTTATTTTAATAATTAATTCTTTTATTTTATGAACTTTTTTCGATTTTTATTTATTGATGTTGATTTCCTTATAATTTTTCATGTTTGTGATAAAGTTGTTATATAATGTTCCTTTGGTCCACGTCCAAGTAATTTTTTTAAAAATAAGTTTAGAAATTAAATATCAAAAATTAATGTAACCACGTGAATCGCACGTGTTTTTGACTAAGTGTGTGTGTGTGTATGTGTATATATATGTATATATATATTAAACCGGTTCTATTATATATTTTTTATTATTATTGTTATTATTATTTTTTACAAGGCAAGAAGGGTTTATTATATGCTGAAAATACAAAAAATTTAGCCAAAACTTGAATACATGCTGAAAATACAACAATATAATTAGTAACTTTGCATCTTAAATAGGTAATAAATATAATTTTTAAATAAACAAAAATAATTATTTTTTTATATTAATATATACTGCATATTAAAATTTCTTTTTATATTTTTGTCCAGACCTCAAATTATATAGAGCTTAACTATCAACCAAAGGGAATGTCACATCGGTACTTGAGTAACATATTTGTAGGGGATGTGTAATTCGTGATTTTGAGATTGGGTGATGATTAGGTAAATCATTTTTGTACTGCCATGTAAAATAATTCAATTATTTAAAAAATCCTCAAATCATATTGGTGAAATTTCTTGCAATCTTTTAAAACCTGAAGTGGTACTTCTATAAAAATTCAAACACAGGAGTCCGAAACACTAAGTAAGTCCTTACCTAAACCTGTAATCACTCATAAAATGGTTAATCCCAAGCACGGAAATCAATGAAATGACTCAAAGTGGGTCATACAAAATCAAAATAAATCTAAGTGGTCATTTGATTCCATACCACAAGGTTCTGGACACACGAATTATGATTTCACACATCCGCCCCCTTTGGTTTCAAGGATTACCAAAATATGCCACACTTAAATGGTGAAAAAATCTCTATCTACAATTGAAATATGTGATAAAGGTTGATATTATTAGAAAGCTGGTTCAAAAACCTTAAAATTGAACTCATAGTTAACCCAATTTGGAGTTAAAATGAGAATTGGGTTATATTAAGTGAGATATAGTCGTTTGAAAATAGAACATCAAATCTAACAAGTAACATGAACAAGGTATAGTTGCCAACTGAGCTGGCTTCTTTGCCAACTGAGCTAACTCAGTTGTCAAAGAAGTCGACTTCTGTAGACCGAGAGCAATTTTTCTCAAAAAATGGGTTCCATATGAACTGAGTCAACTCATTCTCTAAATGAGTCGGCTTTTTCGGGGAATAAGTCAAAAATGTGTTAAAAAACCTCACCGGAAATACCTTTGTGCATTTTTAACCTATGCCATGCATCCTAATGCCTCAAAACTGAAATCCAGGCATCCCAGTAGTGGAACATAGCGGTGAAATAATTATACCACATGTGTGTAAAACCATGACATGCGAAATATAAATGGAATATACAACGTATGCTTTGTATTTGAAATGGCTCTCAGGCCTAAGATACAACCTCTTTTTCTTTCTTTTTATTTTATTTTATTTTTTTAGTAGGCCCAAAGAATTAACTTCTATTTAGTATATTTATTTAACCATTTTTTTTTAACTCATTTATCTTTATTTAACTTTTTTTTTTTTTTACTCGTTCCCCTCATTCCAAGTTTTTTATTTATTCTTTTATTTTTTATTAATGAGTGTATATAGTATGGACCGGTTATATTATATATTGAAAAAAATAAAAATTTAGCAAAACTTGAGTACAAGAATATAATTATTAACTTTGCATCTTAAAAAATGAATTTATTGTTAGCTTTTAATATTTTTTATTTTCCTTCTATTATTATACTCCAACCAATAATAGAAGCCTAGAAGGTTCTTATTTTTTTATTTTTTTTTTACGTTTAGTATAGTATTACCTCAAAATAATAATAATAATAATAATAATAATAATAATAATAATAATAATAATTTCTTAGTAGAACGAATTAACTTCTATTTTCTATCTCTGTTTTTTTTTTTTTCGTCGTCCCCCTCATTCCAACTTTTTTATTTATTCTTTTATTTTTTATTAATAAGTATATCTATATATACTTTTTTTTTTTTGAATGGTGTATATATATATATATATATCTATATGTACTATTATTAAAAATACAAGGGGTGTCAAGAATTTTAAATCATTATTATTAATTAAAAATAAATACATAAAAAATAAGTTATCAATTAAAAAACAACTCCTAATTTAATAAAGTTGTATAATAAGTTACCAATTAAAATACAAACATAAGTTGTCAATTAAAATAATAATCCTATTCTACATTGGATTCCACGTGATTGTTACCCATTAAACTAATAATCCTATTCACAGTATTCCTCACGGTTTACTCCACATGGGATAAAAGGGACCAATTAAAATACAACTCCTAATTTAGTAAAGTTGTATCATAAGTTACCAATTAAAATAATAAACATAAGTTACCAAGTAAAATAATAAATACAAATTACCGAGAGGTATGTAAAAATCACTTTACATTATTTTTTCTTTATTTTTTCCTGGTTTTATCTTCGTTTGTATGACAAATTTTTTATTTTTTATTTTTCAATTCAACCCCAAATTTATTGGTAACTCACAGTTTACTTTACATTGGATCGCTTACACACACAGGCGATACGCAGAAAGGGACGATGAGAAATTACAAAAAATTGTGTCACCTATTTCATTTGTTAAGCCTAACAAGAACTCGCAAGATTGTTAATTTTTTTTTTTCAATTAGTGAGACAAGAGGAACGTAAAAATCACCATAAATATATATATATTTTTCCCAATTTTACCTTCGTTTGTATGACATTTTTTTTTTTTTTTTTGTTCAATTCAACCCCAAATTTAATATTAGGTATAATGATATATAATAGCAGAGTCGTAGCAATAAGAATAGATTGTTAGACATAATAAGAAATACTTTAACAATAATTAGCCCATTAGGATTTAACTTTGATGCACAAAAACACCATGAGTTATAAAATTTAGAAGTGGTACATATGTTACCTTGATCCATTATGAGTAAGAGATTTTGAGCCTTAGTTATTAATGCTGACTAAACTTCAAAATGAGCCAAAAGTTAGTATCCGTCTATTCTGAATACCCAACGTAAAATTATAAGATCTTCAAACCACTTATGTATCTATAGTTAATGGGTACTAAATGTGGTGTTTCATTTCACAATACACGTAATGAGAGAGTATGATTTGGGACCCTTTTATATAGCATTAGTTCATTAAAGTTTGTTTTCCCATTAAAGACTTTTATATTTTCATAAAAACACCAAGAGTTACAAGAAATCTTAACTCTTCAATAACTATTTATTAAGTGAACACTAATTCCAAGAGTTCCCAAATATTATGTTCACTTAACTCTTCATTAAGTGAATATTAACTTTAATTCCATTACTGTCACTAAATTTTATTGAAGCATATGTAACTCAAAAAAATGGCATTATTAAGTGTTTATAAAACTTTACATTTTTTGTCTTTCATATAGATGCACTTAATATTTGATCACCTTCTAATTAATTTCTTAAAACCCTCTTCATGGAAGTATCTAATATACCATATGTATAATAATGTAAAGGCCACATTAAAGAGATAAATTTATAATAATCTCCCACTTGGCTTACATAATTATACCATTTATTAGATTATTCACATAATATGGCCATCACACTTGTCCAAAGAAGAGGTTGCACCATTTACATTAGATTCTGTTCAATGAAACTACTAATTCCAAACCATTGTAGTTATTAAATCGCTCATCGATTCAATACCATTCAACAATTATAACATTAACACCTTCATCAACATGAATCGATGAGATTTAACTAATACTGATAACATTAGCAAAGTAATAGAGATTAGTGTCAATTCATCATTAACGGTCCAATATTGTTTTTATATTTAATTGTGCACAAAAGTTGAAAACAACACAACATAATCATCATATTGTCATATACATAATGTGATCACAGCAAAAACATCTATACATTTTTAACCCAAACATAAAAGACTTTTCACCAAGCCCATGTGCACAACATGATCCTTAAAGAGCTTAGGTGAGAGACCTTTTGTCAATGGGTTTGCTAACATCAGTATAGTACTGATATATTCAATTGAGACAATTTGGTTCAAAACCCTTTCTCTCACAGCAAGATACTTGATATTAATGTCTCGATCCTCCAGTAGTTTTGTTATTCTTAGAGAATCGAATAGTATCATCATTATCACAGTAAATTTTTAAGGGTTATGTAATTGAATCAACAACACTTAATCCTGTGATAAAATTTCTTAACCATATTGCATGACATGTGGCTTCGTAACATGCTACGAATTCGGCCTCTATAGTGGAAGTGGCAACTAGTGATTGCGTTTGACTCTTCCATAAAATAGGCCCATCTGTTAGCATAAAAATATATCCAAAAGTAGACTTCCGGGTATCCGAGCATCCAGCAAAGTCAGAATCTGAATAACCAATAACCTCAAGGTTATTTGTCCTTTTGTATGTAAGCATGTAGTCTTTAGTTCCTTGCAGATAACGTTGTACTTTCTTGACTGCTTTCTAATGGTCAGTACTTGGATTACTTTGGTATCGACCAAGCATACCTACCATATATGCTAGATCGGGACGTGTACAAACTTGAGCATACATAATACTCCCAACTGCAGAACCATTAGGAATTCCCTTCATTTATTCCCTTTCAATATCATTTTTGGGACATTGGAATTCACCAAATTTGTCACCCTTAACAATAGGGGCAATAGTATTAGAATAATGTTACATGTTGAATCTTTTAAGAACCTTATCAGTATAGGCTCATTGGGATAATCCTAAAAGACCGCGAGACCTATCTCGGTGAATTTCAATACCAATAACAAATGATGCTTCACCCATATCTTTTATATCAAAATTCCTTGACAGGAATTGTTTTGTCTCATGTATCATTCCCATATTATTGCTGGCAAGCAATATATTATCAACATACAACATTATAATACAGATTTTACTACCACTGATCTTAAGATATATACATGAATCCACTAGATTCTCTTTAAAACCAAAGTTGGTTAAAACTTCACAGAACTTAAGATACCATTGTCGAGAAGCCTCCTTTAGACCATAGATGAACTTTTTAAGCCTACACACATTGTGGGTCTTGCCTTTATCATGAAAACCTTCAGGTTGGTCCATATAGACCATTTCATGCAAGTCACCATTTAAGAAGGCTATTTTGACATCCATCTGATGTAGCTTTAGATCATAATGAGCTATTACTGCCATGACTATTTGAAGGCAGTCCTTCTTGGAAACTGGAGAAAATGTTTCCTTATAATCAATCCCTTCTTTTTGAGTGTATCCTTGTATCTTTCAATATTGCCTTTGGAATCACGTTTGGTTATGAAAATTCATTTGCAACCAACAGTTTTGGATTATTTAGGTAATTCTATAAGATTCTAGACTTCATTATCCTTCATAGATTTCAACTCTTCATTTTATGGCATTAATCCATAGAGTTGATTTATCGCTACTTTTGGCCTGAGCATAAGAAATAGGATTATTTTCCAAGCCGATATCATAATCACACTCATTAAATAAATTTCATAGTCATTTGATATAGCAGGCCTACTTTCTCTTTGGGATCTGCGTAAAGTACTTCTATAATTGGAGTAGATTCCTTAATGTGGGAAGTTTCTTTAACACCACAATTTTCCAAAATAGGTGTATGTGTCACCATATCTTGGACCACCTGTAATGGCATAAGAATCCGATCTTCCTCAAAGGAAATTTTTCTAGGCTCAATTCTCTAACTAACATCCCCATTTTCTAAAAACACAGCATGTCTAGTTTCAATAATTCGAGTACTATGAGTGGGACGATAAAATCTAAACCCTTTTGATCGTTCTGGATAACCACTGATATAACAACTTATAATTCCAGAGTCCAATTTCTTTAATTGTGTGGTGTGCCCTTTTCCTCGTCGTCAATGGAACGACAAACCAAAGTATGTGAGTGTGTGGCCAAGTTTTAAATTTATAAAGTGCCACTACTACTTTTAACTACTAACGCAGCAAGGGCGAGTAGGGATCGTCCACAGGGATTGGGAGGCAGTATTGATATGGAAACGATATAGGGTTAGTAGGTCGAGTGATCAAAGATGTGGTTTGCTTGGTTGATTAAACTACAAACTAAAACTAAGCAAATTCAATATAAAGCAAGTAATAGTAAATGAAGATAGAGAAAACAATAGAGAGAGGTCTTAGGACTTAGAGGTCACCACTAAACATCACCTTTCTAGACACTCAATGTACAATGAATGAGGGGAAACATGTGTTGCAATATAGTGTGTGTTTTTTATTGAATCAACAAGCAAGGATGACTAATTAAGTATATATTGTCTAAACAATATGGTGAATAACACAATATATCAAACTAAGCCAATATTCCTTCCTTTAAGCTCACAATCTAAACACATCAAATGGTTAGAGACATATACTACTTGCATTCATAAGCATGGAACATCAAACAACAAGCATGGATTATCCTCCCATCTAAAAAACTAAGGCAACTACACTACAACTAAGTTAGGGACATGAAAATTAAACTAATTAAACTAAGGGAGAGGATCAATCCATCAAAAAATGAGTATGAACCATCAAATAAACCACAAGAGTATTCTATTAAGTACCATGCCTTGACAATCTCTAGATTCATAACATCAACACACATAAACATGCATCAACAACACAAAAATTAGAGATAAACACATGAACATCTACTCTAGCGTACATAGACATATGGATAGATTGAAATGATCAATTAGAAGCATTAAACCACACAAATCATTGTATAAACAAGATTCATATATAAATCAAGTGCCAAGACAATAATTACAACACAAATCCCCTCAAAATATAAAACATCAAGGTCTAGAAGGCATGCTTAGTGTTGGGTCCTTATATTGAAGGTCGCGGTGACCACAAGCTTAGAGAAGCATGCAATTTAGGCGAGGGCCAAGTTTTACATTTATAAAGCCACTACTACCTTTACTAAAAATATAGCTAGGGCGAGTAAGGATCGTCCCAAGGGATTGGAGTCGTACTTGAATGTGAAAATGTAACTAGGGTCAGTAGGTCGAGTGATCAAACAAGTGGTTGGTTGGTTATTTAAACTAGAGAACAACTAAATTAAATTAAGTAAGAATGCAATGCTAAAGAGAGTAAGTAAGGGAGAGAGAGATCTTGAGGTTTAGAGATCACCACCCACTACAACAAAAGTGACCTTTAGCAACGTTTTTTTTCGTCACAAAAAGCTAAATTTCCGTTGCTAAAAGTTTTTAGTGACGAAAAATCATTCATCAATGTTTCGTTGCTATATAACCGTCTCGATTAATCTATAGTGACGAATGAGAATTTCGTCACTATTGTCTCTACTTTTAGTGACTAAAAAATTTGCGTCACTATTGCATGACTTTTAGTGACCATACTTTTTCGTCACATCTGCTTGCCTTTTAGTGACGAAAATGCAACAAACATTTTCGTTACTATTGCATATCTTTTAGTAACCATATTTTTTATCACATCTGTTTTCCATTTAGCAACGAAAGTTTTCGTCACTAACTCACCCAATGACAAATGTCTTTCGTTGCTAAAAACCAATTTTGCTTGCTTGTTTTTGCTAATATTAAAAAAAATTCAAATAGAAACACAGGTCCACACATTTCAAACTTTATATAGGAACACAAATTTAAACATAACATTAAATTTTATTATGAAATACATAAAAATTCTGAGTTCAAATACAAAATTAACATAACTTTGACTAACCAAATTTCCAATTGTATAATACAAAAGACCAAACTAAAACATAAAAGCAAACTCCCAACTCTTTCCCAACTCTCCCTCTATGGAGGAATGCCCAAAGTTCCCTTATCACTAGTCTTCTAGAATCTTAAAATTCTTCAAACTATGTTTGTGGCTTTTTGTACTTCGCCTTTGAATATAGTAATTCCGCACGAAGCCACTCTAGCAGCTGCAACAAAAATGAAAATACACAACTTAGCAAAGGGCCAAGAAGGAAATAAAACAAGAGTGATGTAGTAGTGGCTTAAGTTGATCCAACAAAGGCAAAACAATAAAACAAAAAAATAAAGAGTGATTTAGTTTTATGCACTTCACCCTTGAATACAGAAATATTCTAGCAAGAGCCACTCCACTCCAGTAGCTGCAACAAAACACAGGAAAAAGTTCTATAATGGAACAATAGGGCTCTATGAAAGTCAAACTATAAAATTTAAATAATATTCTCCTAATCATAAACTTGATTAAAATTAATTCCTCCAAGCAATGCACATTATCAACATAAAAAAAGGATAAAATAATAAAACTACATTGAATTATTTACTTTCAGCTTTGACTAAGACCTCATTGTAAGACCTACCCACATTGAATATCTGACCTTTAGTTCTCTCTCAGACAACTCAATTACTATTTCTGCAAAGCAAACAAGAAACTAGAATAAGAGAAAGGATATTTCACGTGCAATAAGATAAAAAAGAGAGTAGTAAAGAATATATATGTATATACATTGACACCATAACCTAATTTTGAATAAAAGTACTAATACAGAAGTTAGAAAAAGAAAGTAGCAATAAACATTAACAAGAACATAGTTATTGAAACTAAATAAATAAAAAGCATTCCTGAATGGGATTTCTCAGTACCATAGAACTTATGTTGGAAAGTATTAAATCTTGGGTAAGGAAAAAAAATAAATCTTCTCATAAAGACATACATAAAACACTGCAACAACAAGCTTCTTTATCAATTAAAACTATTCCCAAGATGAAGAATAAAAGTGTGGAAGATAGACTGTGAACAATAACACCTGAATGTTGTTTAAGTCACTTGCAAAGGTAATCATGAGCAAGGTAGACAAAGCAGAGCTAACAGAGGGAAGCCTGCACTGATTGCAAAGATGTTAGTTATCAAATTTATACATACAAATTGCATAAAGAACATATTAATGACAAAAAATAAAATAAAATAAAAAGAATTTGAAAAACTTTACTTGCCTGTGTTTCGGAAACCAAGTCTAACATAGCCAACTTTGCAAAGAATCATCATTTTAGCTGGAAATAAAAAATAAAAAAAATAAATAAATAACGAAGAAGAAGAAGAAAAAGAAGAAGAAGCTATGCATATCAAAATAATTGTGTGATTGGACTAAAATTAATATGAAATCTAGAGATAAAAGTAGTAAAATATAAGTGAAAAAAGCCTACTCAGTTCACCACACAAATAGGCACATCAGACAAGATACAAGCCTATTAAGTGCATAACCAATAACTTAAGTTATCTTGAGCACAAAACTGCACATGTACGGTCACTGCATGGCACTAGAACTAATCATTATGTGAATCTCATTCAGAAAAGCACATGCAATTGTGGGCAAAACTCTAATTAATCTGCCTTATTAGAAAAAAAAAAAAAAAAAAAAAAAAGTAATTTGACCTTACAAGATTGCTACATTGAGATTTCTCGTTAATCATTCTTGATACTGAATACCAAACTGAAAACAATAGGATTTCATTGTGAAGGCTGATTATTTAACAAAAAAAAAAAAAAAATTGAATGGTATGTGATGCCCAAATTACGAGTTTAAAAGCTAATTAAAAAAAAAAAGCCCTAGCATGTAAAGTCCCACAGTAATATGTTTAGTTTGAAGATTATAACTGACAGATATTTGAGGAATTTCTGAAGTGATTTAAGGGCTAAGAACTTGTGATCAAACCACGGCCAAGAATTATTGATCGCCTCTAATAAGGTATGAAATCAGAAGAAAAAAAAATCTGAACAACCAATTTCAAGATAATCACTGTATTTATTTACTTACTGAAAAAAAATTATAGTAATAATCACTCTATCTATGTGAATATCGTACTATATAAAAATAAATAAATATATAAAAACTAGAACTTTAGAAAAGATTATTTGGGGACTTTCAAACCTGGGCTGTTATGAAATGATGGTCGGACCCAATCACATGTAGAATTTTAGTTCTGCAATTCTCTCAACATATATTAGATAGAGATTGAAGGCAATCAAGATCGAAAAATTAATACAAGAAAATAAATATTGAGAAGAGAATATGAAGGGAGTAGTTGAGTGGGATTCCATAAAAAGATTGTGGAATTTATAAGATTTGAGGGTAATCGATTGGCGACCTAGTGTTCTACTCTCTCTATCTCTTTAAGAGCAGCCGATTGGTGACGAGGAGACTCCAGGATAATAAATTGTTTATTGAGAGAAAGCTAGGGTTTGAGTGGGGAAAAATAAAAAAAAAAGGTGATGCAGATACTATGAGAGCGAATGACGGGATGATAAAGTTTGATTGAAATTAGAACAGAGAATAGTGCCATAGTAGGAAAAGTGAGGGGAGATAGTTGGGGAAAAACGAATTGGTTTTTTTACCTAGGGAGATTTTAGTCACAAATAAGTATAAAAAGAAATCAAAACGACGTTGTATAGACCTTCCTATCACCAATTGGTGACAAATTATCTAATTCGTCACAAAAAAGATACATAAATAGTCACGAGCTTGAATTTCATCCCTGAAAGTCTACTTTTAGGGACGAAAGAAATTTTGTAGCTAAAATATCGTCACTAAAAGTCACTTTTGTTGTAGTGACCAAGCAATGCATTTCTATATCATTGACAAATGATTAATGAGGGCAATTAGGGTGTTGCAATATTGGAGTGTGTGTATTTGGTTGATTCAACAAGCAAGGATGACTAGTTAAGCATGTATTGTCTAAACATCATGTGAAAGGCACAATATATCTAAGCTATAAAGCATATATTGTCTAAACAACATGTGAAAGGCACAATAAATCAAAATAAGTTATTAATCCTTTAATTAAGCTCACAATCCAAATACAACACAATGATAGAAACATATGTTAATTGCATTCACAAGCTTGGATCATCAAACAACAAGTATAGATTATCCTCCCATTTAACACTACACTACAACTACACTACATCTATACTACTAGCATGAAAATAAACTAGGGGAGAGGCACAATCCATCAAGAGGTAAGCATGAACCATCAAGAGAATCACAAAAGCATTCCTTTAAGCACTATGTTTTGACAACCTCTAAATCTATGGCATCAATACACATAGACATGCATCAATAACATAAAATCTAGAGACAAGAACATGAACATCAATTCTAGCATACATAGACATATGGATAGAATAAAATGATCAATTGAAAGCATTAAACCACATAAATCATTAAATAAACAAGATCTATATATATCAAAGTGTTAAAACATCAATTACAACACTAATCCCTCAATAATACACAAGATTAAGATATAGAAAGCATGCTTGGGGCTAACTCTAGCCCCAAGAGGATGTCTAGCCACTCATGGTGAGGATGCTCCAACCCTCAAGGGCTAACTCCATGGAAGAGGTTTGCTCCTTGTTGATGAAGATCTCCAATGGTGTCTCTAGAGTCCTCCTCCTCTAAACTTCCTCTCCAAGAGATGATATATAAAAAAATAATGTTGGCTCCCCTTTGAAAAAACAATCCTTATCCTCATATAGGTAGGTCAAAATGACATCCAAAATGAGCTGGGGTCGTGCACATAATATTCCCCAATGATTGGATAAAGGACAACTTTTAATCAGATGAAATTTTAACTTTTTCGCACTGGAGGAAGTTCGATCAATCGAAAGTAAGTGAGATCGATCGAACTTAGGCTGGATTGATCCAACTGGCTAAGCTTTTTGGAAAAAGACAAATCCGAGATATTTATGGGAGATATTTATGGGAAAAAGGAAAAAAGTGGTTGGTGGGTGGTACAGCTGTGGATAGGATCAATCATTTGGATAAGGACAAAGGTGTTCGATCGATCGAAGAATGATGTTGGATTGATCGAACTTTTGAACTTAAGTGCTTTGGGTCAAGGCTTGGATCTATCTTGAAGTGCTGAGATCGATCAATGTTCGATCGATCGAACCTTGGACTTGGATTGATCGAACTTGCTGCTTTGCTTCATTTTGCTTCTTTCTTTCTCCACTTTGCTCCTTTCTTTGTTCAATCCCAGAATTGCTTCAATTAAACTCTTATTTGGCTGAGTTAGCTTATTTTCGGGATAAGTCCCTGAAAATGGAAATAATATGAAATCAATCTAAAACGGTAAAGTAAGATAGATAAAGGTACTAGAATGCCTAAGCTTAAGGGGTTTAAATACGCACTTTTCAGTGCTCATCACACCCCCAAACTTAAATATTGCTAGTCCCTAGCAATGAACTAGAAAGTAAGCAATGAAATGAACAACTAAACAATTATAACTAGAAAGCAATGAAATGAATAACGCCACTTTCATAGGGAACACGATTACACTTAGCACATGCAACAAGCCTTTTAAACCCCTAGGTTACCCCTAGTGAACGAGTGAAGTCTCGCGAGGGTTTCCAGAAATGGTATCCGCAAACATTAAGCTCATTCTTTCAAAAGAGGCACCAATATTACCAACAAGCATTGGGAGAAAACTACCTCAAGTATGCAATTTTTCAACCCTTTCCAAGTAATCTCTCAAAATTTCAACATCAAGCAAGCAAGTATGGTCCTCCACACATCAAGAAAATGATCATGCAAATCTAAACAACTCGAGAATTCCTTTGAGTGGACCAGCATCAATATGTTGCTATCTTAGCCAACTAAAGAATTAATCACATCATTACCCTCAAACTAGCATACAAATCTAGTACCGATCATCAAGACAAAAAATGGACCTTTTATTAAAGTTTTATTGTTCTAGGTGCGCTTATTCTTTTTACTCATATTTTTTTTTTTTTTTTTTTAGGATCAAAGATGGAAGCATAGTGCAATGTATTGATCTATTAAGCTTTCTAGCGATTCTTGAGATCGAGCGTTAGGTCAATTACTCCCAAACCAGACGACTTTAGGGCATTAGGCGTTCAAACACCCCTACAGACTTACAAGCTCAAATCAACTAGGCTACAAATCAAAATAACCTCCATCTAATCATTTCCCATTTCTCACCATTTGGGAGAAGTCCTCATTTTTTATTACTTTTGTTTTGCCCCCTTTTTTTTTTTTTTGGAAGCAAGTTCAATTATTAACCTAGAGTTTGGGCCCCCTCCACCTTTCCGCGCGAGAAGTTCAGTATTTGATGAGGCTAGAATCCCGACTACTTAGTGAAAAGGGGTTGTTATCCACCTTTATGGGAAATTGAAATAAAATCAAATTATGGGAAATTGAAGAAATATAAAGAGTTTAAAGTAATTTAAATAAAATTCGTTATCTAAGACTAAACAAAATGTCTCAATGGTTTCAATAAAACTTTTTCCCAATTCTCATTTGAACTGTGGTTTAGGATATAAGAAATCCTTGCATCTATTAGAAACATAAACATTAGTACTTAAATCAACCTATCATGTATTAGAAGGAATATCAATAATTGATTTGAAATATACAAAAGTCAAAAGACTTATCTTTCTTTTCGAATCATTCTATATGTTTAATGTAATATTTCTAAAAGTGTTTAAATATATAAATGACACTTTTGCATTATTG